GTGAATGCTCGGTGTCAAGTTTAACGTGCACATTTACAGCTGCAAACGGTGCTTGAAGCGTGCTTCCTGCAATTATTGCTGTAACAGCTGGTTTTGAACTTTGCAATCTAAAGCGCGTCGACAGAACTTTGTGTTTTCCTATTGTGTAATAAATACGTTGCAAGGTTGTATCATTTCAAGAAGTAAAAGAAATTAAAAATTGGATTTCTTTCAAAATATTGAAATTCCGTTGGATTTCGGGTTTATATGTACAAGCTATCTATAAATTAACAGAAACTTGCTTGTAAACTAAAAGTTAGCTTTGCTTAGTTGAATTTACTTATATCCAATTAAGCATTGAGTTGTCGAATAACAAAGTTTTGACACCATTCACCTTTTCAAACTCAACAAGCGATGGAATGTAAAATTAACACTATTCATGCAAGATGTCTAGCTAATTGACTTGACTTGACTTTGCCTTGTCGAAGTTGAAATTTAATTTTTTTGGCAAATATTTTATAAATTTTCAGCGAACTGAATAACTTATCAATAAAAATCGAAAGCAGTGAATTAAGAAAAATGTTACTCATACGCCATGTAGGTCGCTTTCCTCGCTGTTTGAATACCATACTAATACAATGATCAAGGTATATTAGGTTTGTGACATCCAGAAAAAAATGCTGAAGACACTATGAACCATATATTCTTCTTCTTCTTGATTGGCGTAGACACCGCTTACGCGATTATAGCCGAGTTAACAACAGCGCGCCAGTCGTTTCTCCTTTTCGCTACGTGGCGCCAATTAGATACTCCAAGTGAAGTCAGGTCCTCCTCCACTTGGTCCTTCCAACGGAGTGGAGGTCTTCCTCTTCCTCTGCTTCCACCGGCGGGTGCTGCATCGAATACTTTCAGAGCTGGAGCGTTTTCGTCCATCCGGACAACATGACCTAGCCAGCGTAGCCGCTGTCTTTTAATTCGCTGAACTATGTCAATGTCGTCGTATATCTCGTACAGCTCATCGTTCCATCGAATGCGATATTCGCCGTGGCCMACGCGCAAAGGACCATAAATCTTTCGCAGAACTTTTCTCTCGAAAACTCGCAATGTCGACTCATCAGTTGTTGTCATCGTCCAAGCCTCTGCACCCTATAGCAGGACGGGTATTATGAGTGACTTATAGAGTTTGGTTTTTGTTTGTCGGGACAGGACTTTGCTTCTCAATTGCCTACTCTGTCCGAAGTAGCACCTGTTGGCAAGAGTTGAACTATATATTAGGTTGGCAAAAAAGTCTTGCGGTATTTTTGTGGTATTTTTACGGTATTTTTATTTTCAATTGTTCATAAAATTTTTTTTTGATGACTCATGTCCAATTCAGCGATTCTCTCTCGACCAATTCAGCGATTTTAGCGCAATTTTCGACGACAAGCCTTCCGGAGCGTGGCGCATCTTCGACCACCTCTACACCAGAACGAAAAAGTTGAAACCATCGTTGTGCGGTGAAAATGAAAACTGTATCGGGTCCATAAACTGCACAAATTTTATTGGCGGCTTGAGATGCATTTTTGCCTTTATCGTAGTAGTACTGTAAAATATGCCATATTTTCTCTTTATTTTGCTCTATGTTTGCGACGCTATAACTCACGAACGACTTAAAAGAAACAGCAATCAATCAAACACGTGTTAGCGCGTGAAATGAACTTTTCAGAAAGGTATAGCATGACCCGATGCGTCGAATAAAAGTGGAACTACGCGCTCTCAGCGCCAACTAGCGAAAATACCGCAAGACTTTTTTGACAAACGATATATATGTGTGTGACCTGGTCTACGAAAAGGGAGCTAACGTGCGAAAACTAGTTTTTATCACGTGAAAAAGTATCTCATCTTCCATCCGAATCAAACTAAAAAGTGAAAATTGATTTTTTGACACCTAACCCCTTTCCGTAGACCAGGTCACATATGTACATAAATGTATCATATCTATCTTTCCATCCGTCCGCTTATCTATCAGCACATACGTGAACTAGTCCTATAGTTTTAGAGATATTAATCTCAAATTTTGCACACGTTTTTAACGAAATTAAGTGGCAGCTCCTCTGCTGGAACCGCTGTTATCGAAGCAGTACAGCATATAGCTGCTGTACAAACTGAGCGCTCAAATCCAAGTCCTTGCATGGAAATTATTTTTATTTGACAAGATATCTTCATGGATTTCGGCATGGATTATTGAATAAAATATTGCTAAATTTTCAAAGAAATTCTTTTGATTGCACCACAATAACACATAGCTGCCAAACAAACTGATCGCACAAATCCAAGTCCTTGTAGTGAACATTTTTTGATTTCACAAATTAAGTTGACGAAATTTGGTCTTGAATTATTGCTTCAGGTAACGCTTTATTCTGCCAACTAATTGTTGATATTGGACCATTATAAAATCTAGCTGTCATATAAACTAGCCGATGAAAAAAGAGTTCTTGTATGGAAAATTGCTATATTTGTGAAGGGTATTATAGTATCTTTATCGTAAGATAAGTAAGATGGCCTTCCTCAATAATGAGTGATTATTATTTGGTGTGAATAGCCTATTAAATACTATTAAAAAGTGCGTAAAATATACTTAAAAAAAAAATCTAATTAAATGCCGAAAGATACTTGGAGTGATTGCAGGTTTCACATTAACTGCAGACTCGTGCGTATTTCTGTTTTTACATGCAACTTCATACAATCTTAGAACTAGCAGTTTTTCAGCGTTTCAGGACTACAGCATAGTTTCTTACTCTAAAGGATGCAGCATATTTGCATTCAAATTCGTGTACAGATTTACTTTCCGCGCTAAAAGTGCTTACTTAGTAAATATTGGCTCATTATGGAGACACGATTTCGTATGTGCGCCTTGCAACATTTAAGTGCGGACTTGTGCAATTAAAACAGTATCCACAAGTGCACTGCGACTGGTATATTATAGAATGTTTTTCAAATTAGCCCTGCCGTGCGTTGAATGCAAGCGCTGTTGAGTGCATGAATTTGTATTTGCTTTCATTTCGACAGCAAAAGTGAGCCACACGGAGGCAAGCCTGAGCTCATATATGGTATTGAAATGCTTATAATATTGTGTGCTATGTGTATGACATACTTACTTGCACATATGCGCTGTATGTACATAAAAGTGTGTGTAACGTCTATTGCCGCTGGTGGCATTGACACGGTACTCAAGTGAATTGTGCAGCTGGCAAATACGTGTATGTGTGTGTGTTTTTATTTTGCTTTTAATTTTTTTATTAAAAAAAAAAAACGCGCTATAAGAGCAAGCGACCATCGTCACATGGTTTACTGTGCATTGCACTATTTGCCACTCATGCATTTATTTATATACACACATATATATATTTTTGTTGCTTTTCGAAGCAGACATTTAAATACTCGTATCATAATGCAACATAAATCTTAATTGCAAATAAGTAACGAAGCAAAGTCAGCAGACAAGCGACTCATATGTGTTTGCCTAATCCCACTGCTCACACCCATCACTCACACAAACGCACACGCACACAGTTATATACAGTATTTATGTATATAGATGCATACTTGCTGTTGTGTGGGGATTTGCATAAACGCTGCAACAGTGAGTAGCTTAGCGAGACCTTGCATGCTCAACTTTCGCTTTATGCCTACTGTATGGCAACAACAAGCGGCACTGCACTGAATTAAAAATACTCGAGGATCCTTGAAAATGTTGCAATTACTGCAACATTACAATGTGCAACGCAGCACTTGCAACAGTAGTGGCAAACTAAACTTGGGAAACAGAAATACAGTAAACTTGCTGCCACACAGTATATATAGCTACATATGCACGCATACATTTATGCACATACATACATATGTATATACTTTATGTTGCATAGGAGCAGTCATGTGCATAATTCTAAATATGCAGCAAGCAGCCGTAGGTTGCTGGATGCGCTTATTACAGTGTACCACCGCAATTGTAACCAAGTTATGCTCATATATACAAGTTTGTGCTGCTCACTCCACGCTTACTAATGCAGTGGCTTTCTGCTGCCGCAGCTTTCTCTTGCTTTCATTGCTTGCCTTCAACCTCAGCGCAGCGTCATCGCTGCCAGTTGCCGGTTAGCAATTGAAATCTCCTGCCATTGCCTACTCCGCCCGCTGGGCTGGCTGTGCTGCGAGGCCAAGTTGTGTGATTATGACTGCCGCAGCGACACATTTACACTTTAACCGGCAACGCATCGGAGGTTAAATACACCGCAACCGACTAGCTCACTTCTGGTCATAGTCTGTACAACCCTTCGGGCACTTTCTCCCTGCTCACTTTACTGCTGCAGAGGTTCTTGTTTCCGCTCTTATGCCAACGCCTTTTGTCTGACAACCTCGTCATCGCTGCGCCTGTTGCAGTCCATTTTATTGTTCTCGCTTTTTTTGTTTTTTTTTTCTTTTGCGAGTCCTTCGCGGCGTATAGGAAATACCCATTGTTTGCATGTGAGCGTTTTTCTCATTAAACATCACTCAATCGGCGTGGCTTCCTGTTGTGTGTGTTTGGTCTCGTGTGGCCGCCTCGGCTGCAGTGCATATTCACGTCGCAGCACTCACATACATTTTTATTTTTGTTTTTGTAATTATTTCTTAATTAAAGTGTGCATTTGTTAAAAGGCACAAGTGGAATATGAAATGAAGCGGAGCACTTGCAGTGTCCTAACATTAAAGCGCCAAATTGCATTCTCTGTACAGTCATAAACTGATTTCAATGGCTCCACGCGCGTTTCCAGGTCTCAATAGCGCTCGATAGGGCATACTTTTGTGACAAGGAGTTGACTTGGCAGATTTTTGATGAGAAGCTTCAAGGCAGCTATATGCAAGCACACTTTACTAATTCCGTTTACTGTGCTTTCAGCTGAATTTTGCTTGTGATTTAATAGAACTCTCTGCATACCATTGTGTTTAATACTTATGTACATTTTGTTATTGTCGTTTTTAAAAGCTTTTCCTTTCTATTGTTGCAGACTTTTGAATGAAATTAATGTGATTGCCGCACACAGCAAGACTAAAATAAAACGCTGCAAACAAATCGTCATTCCAATGCCAAATTTGGCTGTCAGTTACACGGGCAGGACAATGTGAAAATATCGACACATAGGTGAAAGTCAACAATGGGGCAATGACAAGCACGGCTGTTAAAGAGTGCAGAAAAGCGAAAAGTGCTCGCGCATAAGACTTGCTCCACTACGTGTATAAAACAAAGGAGAAGTGGCCGTGGAGTGAAGGGCGCCAGTGTTGGTTTTGAGTTACACAAATTGCTGTCGAAAATTAAAAGGCAATCATGCTGATGGATCACTTGCGTCGCTTCGGCTTGCTCTTCAGCACCCATTTGTTGCTGCTTATGCTGCTAGGTAAGTGTGCGTTTGCGAATTGTTTGTCATACACTTGCCTGCATATATTTATAAACCTGTTATGGTGTTTACATATATGTGTACTAGAGAAGGTCGATTTTTTCTATGGACATTTTTTATAGATTATTCTGAGCAACATTGCCTGAGAGACAGCGATTTGTAAGGCAAAGTTTGAAAAATGTCAATAATCGGTTTTTGGGAGATATGTGATGGCGTTATGCAAACTCACCGATTTTGCCAAATGCAGCTATGTATTAATTTTCATGCGGATATCTCAAAAACTGGCGAAAAATTCTGCTAACCCCTAAAAAAAATATGCCTAACAAAGTTTAGCCCCAAGATGTCTTGGAAAGAGTTGTTCAGAATAACCGGTAGAAGATTTTTTTTTTTTTTGAACTCTTTTGCAGCCCTGTAAATTGCCCCACTGTAATACCCATGCTTGTATTCTTAAACATGTGCTGTTGAATTTATGTTTAAACACATACTTCGTAAAAAACCAGTATTTAGCCAAAAGTATTTTATTTCTGTTTTCATTACTTTCATTTTGATGAATGTTATAATAAAATATTTCTGAAATCACACACTTCTACGATACAAATTAATTTTAAATAAACCTTTGCCGTATTAAAAGTCCAAATGTAATATTTGTAAATGTATTTAATTTAATTCTGATTTTCAAATTTCAAATAAACTTTGACTCTATTACATTATTCAGCATTACATGCAATTTTTTTCAACAACATCACATAAATGTTTTATTCCTCGAACCATCATGTGACACACGCACATTCGCACCGACATATTGCGCATTGCTATACACACCCTCCGATTTTTATAAATGAATAATTATGGTAATTTCGCCGTGGTGTAAGGCCCGACGGGCATCAACTCGTCTGCAGGGTGTCGATGGCCGCGGTGTGTGCGTATCCAGTGCGCTTTGGGTTGGGCCAGCCAGCCAGCTACCACCTTTCGCCGCTTTGAAGTAATATTTTATCTGATAATTTCTGTTGCCTTCACTACATTTGGGTGCTTGTGTTTAACGCAAATACGAAACACTATAATTTGCTAAATAATTTCCGTTGCTTTCATTTCTCATGGTATTTTTAGATATTTTTGACGTGCGTGCTGTTTGCCGAAATAATCACCGGCTTCAGCCAGTATTCAAATTGTCGACATTGCACGGCAACTTTCAGTTGGGAAGGGAGAATTTCGACAAACTATTAAAGAGAGTGGCATAAGCCGTTGCGAGTGGAAAATATTCAGCCGTCTGTTGCAGAGCTCAGAAAATGTGTTGGACTTCAGCTGGTTTAAAATTTTATCATTATTATTTTTAGCTTGCTTTGATGGTTTTTTCTTATGCTTTCGAGAATTAATTTTTGGCATTATTACTCACATTGGTCTTGCTATTAAATTTATTAAAACATATTTTTATGACTTTATTACTTAAGTATTTATTTAAGCAATTAATGCTAATTTTGAAATGAATAATTTCATTTGGTGCGATAACTTGGTTAACGTGAAAAAATTGTTGGTATATAAACAACGTTAATCAAATTTAGTTGATTCTATGCTGAAACGCATGAAGCATTTTCAAGCTTATTTTAAACATAATACTACATAAATATTAATTACCGCTCAACTCATAAATTTGCTTAAAGTAATTAGTTTTATGCATTAGAGAAACTCTACTTTTTCACAGTAAAGAAACAAAATCAAAATGCCAGACATACTTTTTTAATATAAACAATAAATTCTTCTTTAATATTGCGTCCGTAACATAAGCCCTTGGCAAAATGCTGTAAAAATAAATTTTGATACACAACTGTCGTGAACTCGCAAAGGTTAGAGGCAACAGGCAAAGCTATCTAGACCGACCCTAGGTTGTAGTGCCAAAAAAAAAAAAAAATGAAGAAGCAAATATAGAATATTTAATTCGGCAAACTTAAAACGTCTTTCACGCGGTTAAGCTCTTCACCTATCTTATCCCTTTCTAACACTACTTTATAAACGGGAAGAAAACGTCTTTGGTAATAGAGATTATGTACGAAGATGTGGCTCCATGCATTACGAGTTCTTCTGATCTTGCTGGTGGGAAAATTATACTAAATATCACTACATTTTCGATTAGAAAAAATTTGAAAAAGAAAAAGGCCAAACTTCTGCAAATATATTATCTGATAGTCTGATCGTCATAGTCGATCTATCAAGAAACTACATTTTCACGTATTTGAAATTAAATCTTTAATATTTTAAATATCCTCGCTGAAATCAATTTCCTATACATTTGCTCGACTAAAATGATTTTTAGTACCTTCAGCGAATTTTGGTTTTTCAGTTTCGCTTGCTTTTTGAAGCAAAATTCGCCAGATTGTTGTACAAAAACCCACGTCTCGACAACCACAAGGAAGCGTTTTACGAATGTAATGCTCTCAGCAACGTTGTCAAGCATCTCCTTTACGATCTCTAACTGCTTTTTGAATAACACTCAGGTATTTTGGTACTAGCCTGGTGTTTACGCGCTTTATACCCAAAACAATAACCGAAACATTAACCAAAATATGTTGAACTGATCGATATTTGTTATGAACGTACAACAACATGAGAGTTTTATAACACTTATTTTTAACTTTTTCGATTTTAACGTCATTAGTCAAGTTAAAGGACGACTCACATGAAGCAAGTTGTTGAAGACTTCACGTTCTCCGCGGAATGTCCTTAAAATGCTTGTATTATGCTTCTGCAATACTTTCAATTTTTATTTTCGAAAACAAATTTTTAGATTTCGCTTTTTTAATTTTTTTCCATGGTAAAAATTGCCAGACACACTTTTAGCGTCGCAAACAAACAGCTGTCAAAGACACACTAATTGATGTATGCAGTTCAAGCTTGACACGAACATAGAAACGAGTTGCACCAACAAAGTATGATTTTTTTTTTTAAACTAAAATCCAGTCTGGGTTCTACTTCAAGTTGGAAAGCTCTTCATAAAAAACTTGCATTAATTTTCTATGAAATATTTGTTTCTCGAAAAACCAGTCCGAGTCATCCATCTGACCTTTACTTTTCTACACTGAATACTTCTGCTTGCAGATTACAAGTAGAAACTGTAAATTGAAATTTTATTTTATATCAAAATATATATTTGTACTATTCAGCCATAATTCTAAAATATTTGAAACAATAAATGTTACAAAAATGCCTTGCTATTGTTGCACACGATAGAAAAATGAGTGCACTAAAAGCTTCTAAGCCCACATCAATAATTCCGAAATGCATAAGTAATCAAAACACCATCAGACAACAACGCTTCTTATTGATTACAAAATTAGATTTTATTGTTGGAAAGTTTCAACATAAAGAAACATAGTGTGCTTTTACCGTTTTATATGTGGCACTTGCTGCTGTTTGAAATGAGGCAACTAATTGCTGCTATTCTGCTCACAAATTGCTTTTAATTAACTAAGTTAAGTTAATTTATTGTACGATACCTCAGCTAACGCGCACAAAAGAAACATCGAAACTATGGAAAAGCACAATGACGGAAAAGTTCAAAGAGAAAATAGAGTAAGCCTTAACAAATGTACTGTTTCATTTGTACGAATAAATCTATATTAATGTGCAGCTAATTAGTGAGCCATTTAAGCGAGTAATCGAATTTCCAGCTAGCCTCAGGGGGGAGCGCAAAACTCCCAACACTCATGCGAACATGAGCTCGTGCCAAACTTGCGACATAGATAACATGGAAAGAACAGTGTACGCATTAAAATGGTAAACTGTCGGCCTTCATGGGACCAATTAAACAGAAACTCCGCCATTGAAGCGGCAAAACTTTCACCTCATCCATGCGCTTTCACGAACGTATTGTGTTAGTCCATGTGCATGAATTCACAGTTTCGTATGCGATTACTGACACGGCGCATAACGGATATCGCGGAATGTGGTGAGCGCACCGCGATCAGGCATTCAAGAGTTAAATGAACGCGAAAATAGCAAAATAATTGCGAACAAGCAGAAAGTTTCATGTTAGCATGATATAGTGGAATTACAAATATTAATCAGAATATAAACTAAAATTTACAACACAAACTACTATGAATTTGCAACAATACACAAATATTAAAGTTGCCAATACGCTCGGACTCGAGTTATGCATACCCAGCGCACAAGCTTTGCAGGCGAATCATTTCGTAGCATTCGAGTTGCGCCACGAATTCCAAATAAAATAACTTTGTTGCATTTTCGCAACCAAAAAATGATTTTTTGTTTACATTGTTTAACTTAAACAAATATTTAGGCACGATTTTCAAGTAAAAACGGCGTAAGTGAGGAGGTGATCGCCGCAACAAAGACGAAATCGAACTATCATAATGGTATCAAAAAGTTGGAGAGTTACTATATTCGGTGTATCATCTTTGAAGGGAACCATGTTGAATATATAAAAAAAAAAAAAAAAAAAAAAAAAAAAAAAAAAAAAAAAAAAAAAAAAAAAACAAAAAAAAAAAAACAATTTTGCTGAAACCCAATTCTGTATTTATATGTTCATAAAGTTGACCGCTTAAGTAGTTACATGAGTTACCTCAGGTAAAAACAGTCTTTTTTCAGGCATTTTTTTTCTCATATAAAAACTGAAATATTTTTTTAAAATTTTTTATTGTTACAAAAATATACACCATTAACAAAGAAGTTCTGAAATTTTTGGAAAAGATACTTTAAACTCGGCCATTGCGATGCTATTTCCGTTGACTCCTCACAAAAAAGATGCGCTCGTGTTGGCAGGATAACTCGAATTTCAGTTAAATCCTTAACTCTGAACTTGGACGAAGGACGAAAAAATTGAAAATTTACAAAAACGTGAAAATTTCGCTTTCACTTTTCGAAAATTTAGCACAGTATTCTAGAAGTATTGTTAAGAACAAAAAAATTTATATAAAACTCGTAAACCCTCGTAACGCCCTTATATATTGCGCTTAACAAAGATCAAAAACTTTTGAGATTAACGA